TTCTGTGGTCGGATTAACGAGGTTCCATACTAGACGTTTTTCATGGATAATTTTGTCATACCAAATAGACATTTTAACGCAATATTTGGTTTTACTTCCTATATATATACCCCAGTTTCTAAGGCACTCGCATTTAAACGCTTTAATAATGTTTCTTTCAGCAAAATGTTTTCCCCGATCGAGGTACAGTGTACGACTACTACTTTGTCAAACAAGCGAATGGATCATGGAATAACTGGCTAGAGTTATCCAACAAGAAAGCTGTTATACCCAAAGACGCCAAGGTATATTTCATTCTTATTTAGCGAACATCGCAATGTTTCCCAAGGTACTCCGCGTGCTGGTCTGAAGATCACGCGCTAATAGACCTTGGAAGCTTTTACGTCACGTATATCGCATACGCAATCCATGAATCGATATATTTGGGACAGAACATGGCGGATTTCTTTTGTTTTCTCTAGAAAATCACCCCGCAATGCATTGCAAATAAAGTAGTGACGTAAAAGCTTCAGAAGTCAATCAAGGTCATTGCAATTGTTTTTTTTTTCTTGTCTGATGAATAATAATTTGCGTATAGGCGCAAGAGACACATATGAAGTAGTCAATATCTCTTCCCTGCCCTATCCAACGCCTTCCAAACTCCATCCCATTATTTCGTATTTTTTGTTTCACCAGGTTAGCGAGATAACCATCGAAACAGATGATACAGCGCGTCAAATATTCTTCTTAAACACGTTTGTACCACACGAAGTCCCGTTGCTGTTTGTTGGTCCAACAGGGACTGGTAAATCCGCCATTACCAACAACTTCCTGGTCAACTTACCAAAGGAGAAGTGAGTTATTACTACAACATGAGTTTTATTGATCTGCATCATCTTTGTTTGGCAAAACGGTTAACACGAATTTACCCTGGTCCCAGAGGTTTCTTTTCTCTTCTTTTATAGATGTTTTTTATCGTATTTTTTGTCTTTTTTTTTTTAATTTAACGACGCGTCGTTAATTTAAAAAACAAAGACAAAAATATACGATAAAAAGCATCTATGAAAGAAGAGAAAAGAAAACCTCTGGGACCAGGGTAACACGAATTAGACATGTTGCTGTCCATGGTTTCAATGCGGCAAAAGATTTCAATGAGTCACACCAACCCCTAATAGTCAATGTGCAGCGGCGCCATTTTTAAAAATATCTCCATAAGAGCCGTTTTAACATTTTCTTAGTAGAAAGGGCGGTAAAAACACTGCAAAAGCAAAAACTGCTAAGGAGGACTGTTGTATCGGAAATAAAAAAGTGTGAGGACTATAACTACCATCATGCTTTGCTGCGCAAAATGGCGTCGCTGCACATTGCCTATTTATTGTTTGTGGCTCGTCTCTTTTCCTGCTGACACAACACAGACACAGGCATAGAGCGGATTTCGTATGAGTGGGAAACGGACGGTACTGTACTGTGTCCGTAATCGTACTGTAACCAAATTCTAGTGCCCCATTGTTTCACCAAAATTCTGCAGGCCAGGTGCGGTAACTGTGCGGTAACCGTGCGGTAATGGTGTCCCACTCATACGAAATCCGCTCTAGCATTGGATCTAGGGGAGGTGAAGTGCAAAAAATGATATTTAAAGACACACACCATTGCCTGTATCTTTCACCGAACCGACATCCGATTTGCAGAGTACGTTCAATGTCGTATGAACATTTTATTTGATATCACTTCATCATCAATAGAATCACTGACAGTATTTGTTCAATTACTACAGATATCTACCCATCAATATTAACTTTTCTGCTCGAACTTCTGCTGGAATGACYCAAGACATCATCATGGGRAAACTAGACAGGTACAGTTGAATAACAAAAAAACGATACTTTCTAGTGCACCTCCGTCGATTGCTCGTGTAAAAAAATACTATCTAGATAACAAATTGCGCAAGGTTTTGAGTTGTATGTCCTCATGGTGACACACTCTTGACGTGATCATTAAATGTTCAAAACTCAAGTGGACCCACGAGCGCAGCGAATGGGTTCACTGTACGAGAATTTACACATGTGTGGTCAAATTTGTATATTTGTTGATAAATAACTCAACAAAACGAGCTTAACGAAGCCTACTAGTTATTAGCCAAACTATTGGCGTTTAAAGTACTCTATGATATATAAATTCGAGGCATGCTTTACGTGGTATTAAAGTCATGTTTAAAGTACTCTATGATATATAAATTCGAGGCATGCTTTACGTGGTATTAAAGTCATCAATGTGACTGAATCAGGAAGTCCCGATTGGTCAAATAATTCATTGTTATATAACTATTATTACTGCAGGCGACGTAAGGGCGTGTATGGTCCTCCACCGGGAAAGAAGTGCGTGGTATTCGTAGATGACCTCAACATGCCTGCTAAAGAGAAATACGGTGCACAACCGCCTATTGAGCTACTAAGACAGGTAAGTTAGTACCGGTATCTTGGGATTCCTGTGTAATTTACACTCCAAAGGGTGACCAAGGTTCTGGGTCATCTTAGGTAATCTAACTTTACTTCGGTTATTTTTCAGTGGATCGATCACAAGCATTGGTACGACCTCAAAGACACTTCTAAATTAGAGCTGTTAGATCTGGTAAGTTTTCTAATTTCTGATTGTTTGGTTAGGTTGAAAGTATTGTTTAATAAGGCCGAATTTTGAAGAAATTATGGGATGTCCAGAAGGCAAAAGCACACATCATTTCGCTCTACAGTCTGAATTTCTTGTTTATCGCCCTCTGTACATCCCATCCACCATTCGATGTAATTGACTGATAGAGAGAAAGATCCATCCATTGATTCATCCATTTACACTTGATTCATTTTCCCATTCAGCTGTTCATCTATTCGTTTCTAAATCACAATTATTGATTTATTTGTCCAATCAGTCATCTTTTTATCATCCATTCATTTTTTCATATTTTCAGTTGTTTGTATCAGCAATGGGTCCTCCAGGAGGTGGTCGGAATGATATCTGTGGTCGTTTTGTGCGACACACTAACATCATCTGCATCGACTCGTTTGATGATAACACCATGACAAAAATCTTCACCTCCATCGTCGATTGGCATTTTGCTAAAGGATTTGAAGCCACTTTTCAGAGATTGGGAAAGGTACTTCTACTTGTCTCATTCAGTTTCCWTTCCTTCATAATTCTATTGTCCCTTTCTTCCACATATTACTCCCTCATTCTCATTAAATTCACGATTTTATGGCATTTATTTTCATTTTTATTCCGCTATAGATTGTCGTTTTAGCAACCATGCAAGTTTACAAATCAGCCGTCGAAAAATTTCTCCCCACTCCTAGTAAATCCCACTACGTCTTCAACTTGCGTGACTTCGCTAGAGTGATAGGAGGCGTGCTATTGGTTCCTTCAACTCACATGACTGAGGGCGACAAGCTGATTCGCTTATGGATTCACGAAGTCTACCGRGTGTTCTACGACCGACTGATTGACGACACCGATCGTGAGATGTTCTTTGGTTTGATCAAAGAAACCACGAAGCAGCAATTTAAACTGGAGATGGATCGTCTTGTTGGTCATCTTGTTCCTACAGGACAAAAACTCAAGGATGATCACATTAGAAACTTGTTTTTTGGTGATTACATGGTGCCTGACAGTGCAGACAAGATCTACGATGAAGTATCAGACTTTAAAGAACTTACTGCGCAAATTGAATCGTATGTCTAGAATCATTCTTTNCTTAAAAACACTTGCGTTATTTCAACAATTTACTCACAAAATCCGTGTAAAACCCTGGCAAAAGTTATTATCTAATTGTTTTAGTTCCCAACAACTTGTCTATTCACTTTCTCTAGATTTCAAGAAGCAAAATATTTTTATTTTTTGCAAATTAAGTAGCAAAAACAAAAACACATTTAAGTTAGTTAAGTTTAACTCGATAAAAGCAACGTTTTCAAACGAAAAAATACCCCAAAACTCATAAATATAACGTCACAATTAATTATTAAAATACTATTTATTAAATACCTGCATGGTAGTGTAATACATTTTAAAGTTTGTCAAGATCAGTTCATCTACGTAAACAAAAATTGAGCGGCCTTCGCCGTTTCTTGCACGCCGTTTCTTGCAGAAAACTAAAGCTGTTTCGCTTGTCATTTTTTCTTGAATATTCCATGCCAGAACAAGTTATGGGATGAATTTATGAAATGTTTCTGTGTTTGAGTTTTTCAGCTACTTTTTGATTGAGAATGTCTACTACTAGTACGCTTTCTTTCACAAGTAAACATGAAGTAGGTTTTGAAGTCTGCTTGGCAAGTCAGGGCTACTACTGACTTCGACGAGTTTCGTTCGTCCAAATAAGACTCAAAATATGACTTTAAACTTGTTTTCAATTTTTCAGTAACAACCTTTCGAAGTCTTTTCTTCATAGATGATATTTCTAATCGAGATAAGAATGGAAAACTGTAGAAATCTTAGGATTTGTGGCCCTGGGCTGTCTGCAAGTTTGCCGTCCGCCGATGATCGTTGCAAACTCGCTCTGAAAAACCGGTTTGAGCTTGTCAGTAAAAWTACTGAAAAGCCATTCGAGTGCTAAAAATTTGTTTGTTTTAGTTATTAAAAAGTAATATTTCTTTAGCTAAAATGAAAAAAAAAAAAACAAAAAAAAAACTGAAAATGAAATTCTCGCACTGAACTCACGAGCGATCGCTTCAATTTTGCAAACGCACGCTCATTTCTAACCTTTTTTTGTTATTGTTTTTATAATTTTTTTCTCCYTTAAAATWRAGGCATGAGATTCAAGGTAAATTCATTGGATGACTCGTGAATTCCGCGTTGAATTCACTCGTCACCCAATGAATTTACCTATAGAATATAATGAGAAGTAGACCATACGCTACTGCGGTTGTTGATTGTATTTTTCCCGAGCCTTCGCTGGACACCAGCATCAGCAGGAGAGTGAATATTTAAATGAATCGTTAACATTTTTAAAAGTAATAAATAAAAAAATCCTTTGTTTATAATTTTTTTTAAATTAAATGACGCACAAAACCCGAACACTTTGAGTTGCTCAGCAACTAAGCAGTCCATATAAAACAAATTTGGTAATCTTGTGAAGATTTGATATTGAAGAAAATCAAAAGAAAGAAAGAAACTTACTTTCCATTGCATGTTAACGATTACTTTTCGCGTCCGTCAGTCCTTGCTCTATCACGTGAAAGCGCAACATGACAAAGTATTGCACGACGCATGACGTCAGAGTCCGAAATAAAAAAAACGTTGGATGCTGGCGTCTGCTAGAAATCGAGAATARACATTTTACAGAGACGCCATTTTGTTCAGCAAAGCATGATGGTAGTTGTGTCCTCGTGACTTTTATTTGTTTCCGCAACAACAGTCCTCCAGAGCAGTTTGTGCATTTTCCGAGCAAAAATAGAAATAGCTGTAGTTGTACCGTTTCTATAAAGAAAGCATAAAAACATTTTTTTGGGGAGATATTTTAGGCTATAAAAAGTGCGAGGACTATAACTATAAGAACTATCATTCAAAAAAACATTGCGTCGCTGCACATTGTCTATTTATCGATAGCTCTTGTTCGGTCAAAAACGTTAAGATATTTTGAATAAATGATAATAATATTGGATGGTATTTTATAATCAGATGTTGGTAAAGGCTGGTG